GGAAGGCCACATATTTGTGTGGTTCTTGGCTTTAAGGGAGGATTGTTGGGATATCAATCTAAGTTTCACATCAAAAGTTTACATAAAAAATGTCTAATATATAAGTTATGTCCAATAGTAATTAGTATAAGGCATTTTGGGAAGGAACCCAAAAACAAATTCCTGCAGGTTTGCCACTTGGGCCCAAAACGGATATATCATACTAATAGGAAGTTAGACATAGGCTTGAAAAACCCAACAATTGGGCTTGTTTGCTTCATACTAACATTGCGAAAGCTACTACTCGACTGACAGAATAGTAAATCTCTTGCTCCTTACGTAACTGCATAATCAAAAGACTTTTGACTTGATCCAAGGAAAAGAAGTCTTGGACCTAGCTCCAACCCTCAATCTTAAACTTTCTTAGATTTTGTGTGATTGTATCATAGTATAACACAAGGACTGATCTATGAACAAAAAAATGTTTGGTCTCAAAGCCTGATGAAATGTTTGGCCTGATAGAACAGAGAATGTTAGTCAAAGATGAGTCCTTACTTATTGGAATTGAAACATTTCTCTCGTCTTCTCATCTCTTCGTATATTATAAATCTTTGTGTAGGAACGAATGTCTAGTCATGAAAACTTAGTTAAGTGAATAAACAGTTTTAATACTAGCAAAGTTGGCTAACCTAAAAATTAAATCAACTCTCTCTCATCAAAAAGCTCCACCGCTTGAGAAACAGAGTAGAAGCGTTTTTTAAAGTTACTTATTGGCTTATTGCTTACATTAAACAAATTTTTTGATTGATCCAAAAGTAAGGTCCCAATTGATAGGACATTATTGCTTACCATAAACATTGTTTGACATATGTAAAACAAGTGAAAATTTTCCACTAAATTTCTTAAATTATGATGTATACAGATTTAAACAATAAGATGATATATTACCATTAAAATTTTATCTTTCATTACAAGAAAGAAAAAAAGTTATTGAAGAATTGACATTTTTATGACGATATATTTTCTTTCAAATCCTTCCAAGTAAAAAATATTGAACAATTGGCATTTTTCATTTCTTTTTAAAATTAAATTAATTGACATAAGTTGTTTTGAAGATTTACTTCCATCCAAGTCTCTGAGATAGGAATCCATGAAATAACCTTACATAGACAAGATCAGTATGTGTGATACGTATAAATATGAGGTATGTATGGATCCACACACCAAAGGGCAGACACTAACCCTAACACTTGAAAAAGAAAAGAAAATAAAAGAAAACAGAAACAAGACCTAAATATTGTATGATGGAGCTACCTTTTGATGTAGTTGAGCGGATCTTAGAGAAACTTCCGGTGAAATCTCTACTCAGATTCAAATCAGTGTCAAAACAGTGGATGTGGACAATTGAATCTCAATATTTCAAGGAGAGACAATTGGTCTTTAGTCAGCAACGGCGAGATCTAGATGTCCTCCTAATAAATCCCATTGAATGGTTTGATGTTGGTAAAGTTACGAAGAGTGAAAAAAAAAACGTAATTAGGAGGTTGACATTAAATTCGTCTGATATGGTCAA